GAGATTCTATCAGTGTTTTTCCTCTTATTTCTTAGAAGAAAAATTGGAAACTAATCAAAAGACAGAAAAGCCTACAACGCGTCTGACCTTTTCGACTTTCGACTGTATCATGTGTTTATACAGCCACAGTCATTCCTTTCCAACCAAAAATTGAAAGTTTGTACAAACCTCTAATTACGTCAGGGAATAAAACCGTGGATTGAAGGAGACTTGCTTACAATTTTTCATTTTAACATCTTCGCCGATTTGCACAACGATACTAGCAACGAATCAATAACATTAATTGGTCTAGATTCTTAGAGCATAACAAAAATTTGAATAAGCTAGGATCTTGAACGCTGTAGGGTCATTATAGTTATATTACTGCTTTGCATCGAATATTTCATCTAGACTATCTGCTACTGATGCTACTTCACGAGATCTCTTATTTATCATTGTACATCAAATTGGTGAATGAAGATAAGTATGCTTGATTTTCTATGACAGATGTTCATACCGAGGCTCGAGAACTCCGGAGTTCAGGGCATGTTCTTTTACGCTTGGGTCAAATTGGCTCTTGACCCCGCATTGGGTAACACAACAATCCTGGACTGATGAGTGGTCAAATACACTGCCTGCTCATGTATTGGTGTGGTACATCATGAACATTAAAGTGTGAGAGATACGTGATGAGGTTCGCTTATATTCAGGGGTATCTATTGGTACAATTGATTGATTGATTGATTGATTTAATTTACGTCCATCTTCAGTCTAAGACTATATAGGACGGCTAGACCCTATAGGCACTAGCAGATAACTTTTTATTTTACAAAAATAGATATGTTCGATTTGGGGAAGTGAAAATAAATGCTGGGGACCAATGCCCGCTTATTATATGCGTTGCATATAATAAGAAAATATGAATATCAAGGGTTATAAGAAGGTTATCCCTCTACCCTCTCTTTCCTCCACTGCTACTTCTTCCTCTTCCACTACTTCTTCCTCTTCAACTACTTCTTCCTCTTCCACTACTATTTCTTCCTCTGTTTCTTCTTGTTCAAGAGCTCTTGCTAAGTGCCATGCCCTTGTAGCAATTTTGGTGGTATTGATGAATTTGATAGCTAGTTCAATTCCTGCTTTTGTATGTAGTAGGAATTGTATAGTAATCTTGGATAATGGTTGACCAAAGATAAAATAGGTTAGAGGTTACGTGATCAATGATATAGTACGATTAAATCAAATGTCAGATAGGAGTCTTGCTTATGTCCTTTGCCATGAACAGAAAAGTTCGAAATTGATAGGTGACTGTGATTCCACTTCTCTTGAAATCAAATGTGTTTGGAATAGGCTGGTAGACAGGAAAATCGAAACAGCGTGTGAAGAATAAATCTTACCGGTGGTAAAATATTGGCAATGTTAGCACCATCTAAATTCTACAAATAATTAGTTAGAAGGGATCATAAGGTTTAAACAGGTCTGTTTGCATAAATGCTAATTGAATAAGATTTACTTGTAATATTTTAGATCTGATTGGATGTAATATTATAATGGCATTGGGAAAAGGGGTAAAGGGGAACAGTAATCGGAAATACTACATCAAAAGTTCTGATCTGACTAAAAGTTGTTTGTGGAGAAAAGATGAGGGAGAGGTGGATATAGTATTATTACAAGGGTGTAATTATGAAATTCTGACTTAAGTGAGATAATCTATCTAATTATATACTAAAATCTTACTAAGGTTCAGATCCAAATAACTTACTGCACCTTCGAAGTGTGGTTGGTGTGTTGTTGGTGTACAATATTGCATTTAGATATGTTTGCTTGATGAATGTGTGATACACAAAGTTCATTTGTTGTGCCTCATGTATATATCTTTGGTCTCACAGACTCTATAGAATTGAAAGCAGGATTTTTCATAGGTGATGAGAGTAGGTAATTGTAAGGGGTAGTAGTGCCACTGGGGTAAATAAAGGGTGTAAGATATTTCTTGGTTGGCCTCACAGACCCTGGTAGATATCAAAGCAGGGTCTTTTATAGGTAATTGATTGTAAGACATTTTCTGGCGATATCAATTTACAGCGGGTAATTATTGTAAAACGCACAAATCACCCCATATGCAGTAAGGGTTTAGTCAATAAGATCATCACGTGATTAAAGTCATTATAAATTCATATCTCTTACCACTGCACCACTACTCACCTACCCCTCTTTCCTCATCTATACTTTCAATTCTACTAGGGTTCTTGTGGGGCCAAAGTTATAATCTAATAACTTCTCTTTATCTACCTTTATAATTACTTGTATCGCCAGAAAAGGTCTTACAATTAATTACCTACAACTTCCTTCTCCTCATCTACCCTTACAATTAATTATTTGGGTTGCAGTCTGTAACCCTCCGTATCAGAGTCTTGAATAGAAGATGATTGCAGAATTTTGAAATTATTATTATTGAATAAGATTAATGACAATATTAGAGTATAGTAATCAAGTTAATTCGATTCTGAATAAAAGATGAGAGAATAGGAGAATATTGTTGTATACAAATATTACAAAAGTTTTGAAATTTTGGATTATAAATATGACCCAGCAAGAAGAGAAGGTCCTTAAGACTTAAGTAAAGAAATCTAGGCTTTTGCTTATACAGTCTTAGCTTCTCAAATCATCTCTCTTACTGCGCCCTTTTGAGTGAATTCTTCACCTTGGCAGTGGCAGCAGTGGCGGCGGTCCGGGACAGGCAATGGGGCTCCATAGGGCAGGTTATTAATAATATGTGGACCGTATTTCGCCAGAAAGTCAGTCCGCAACTCGGGAACTAAGAAGACTAGTGACTATTGGACCCTTGTAGTTTACTGTGACCAAAAGGGTATAAACAGGACTCCGATTGTGTACTTAGAATCTACAAGTGAAGAGCTATGTAGGATGCTAAAAGGAGGACTATATATACAGGTATTGGGAGCCATAAGGGCTAGGCCAAAAAGGGTGAAAGAGTCCTAGGCGTAAGATGCCTAGGTCTAGAGCTATAGAGCTAGGGCTCTAAGCTGTGAAAGGAAGGTCAAAAAGAGCCGTCATATCATACTATGTATGTAGTATGAGCCAGTGGGCGGAAGAGAGCCGTCTGTTCCGTCACAATAATATTAAAAAGATAATTAATGAATAATAAAAATACAAGGATTTAGAATCTATAAAAGTCTTTTTTAGACTTGAGATCAAATAAACTCTATTATTTAATAATTCAAAATCTATTAATAATTATATACAAAGAAGATATTGAAAAGATTCGATATCAAAAGATATTCTAAAAAGAATCTATTATTATTACCAGATATAATAATTCGGAAAATAAAGGAAAAGGATTTATTAAATATAAATAAAAAGCAGATTTATATATAGATTATAAATTTAGTTATTTATTTGATAAACTGTTTTCGATCTAATCTTTTTTTTTCTATAAATCAGTTTATAAAAGTTATAAATACTTTAGAAGAGATTTATTATTTATTTATTAAATATCTTTTTTAATATATTTCAAGTATTTATATAATTGTCTAGATATCACTCACTTAGCTATAGTAGACTATAGGGCTACAAGCTAGGGCAATAAACAACACTTTCATCATTACAGAGTATATATCATTTAATATTAGTATCTCTATAGTTTAATTCCTTAAGACAATACAAATATATGAAATACAATCGTACTATTAACTTCATTATTATTATAATAATACCAATACTGATTAGTGAATTTATTACTAACTTATAGATTAATAAAATATTAACTTTGAAAAAACCTAAACTCTTGTAAAAACACTTATTCTCAATATATTAAAAACAAATATTAGATTCAAATCAAAGAAGTAGAATTTGAAATTATAAATCTATCCTTCTGTAATAACTTTGTATTATATCATTCTCGAAGTTTGTAAACTATACATATAAAAAAACTGTACATCTATTCTTTTATAACAATCTATTCTATTATAGTTTTTATATTCAGAAAAATTGTATATCTATTTTTTTACAATGATTTTCTATTATATATCCAATTATATATTGGATATTAAACTAAACTCTATAAATCTATCCTTTTATAACAAATCCTATATCATATATCATTTTGCTTAAATTTAATAACAATTTATATCTTCTTTTTCAATTTGTAAATAACTTTATTAACTTAGCAAAATTGTACTCATTTGTACAAATCTCTGTAATTTGTATATCTATATTTGTGACGGAACAGACGGCTCTCTTCCGCCCACTGGCTCATACTACATATGTAGTATGATATGACGGCTCTTTTGGACCTTTCTTTCACAGCTTAGAGCTCTAGCTCTACAGCTCTAGACCTAGGCATCGTACGATGCTTATCTCTAGGTCTCTTTCACCCTTTTGGGCCTAGCCCTTATGGCTCCCAATACCTGTATATATAGTCCTCCTTTTAGCATCCTACATAGCTCTTCACTTGTATATTCTAAGTACACAATCGGAGTCCTGTTTATACCCTTTTGGTCACAGGTGGCCCGAAAGGGGGGGTGGCCCGAAAGTAGGGTAGTTGACTTAGAGTCAAAAGCTAAAGGACATAATGTCACTGCCGAAACAATTACATCATCATCATCATCATCAGAGTCAGGCGAATAGCCGTTCAGATCCTCCGTGTAACCCTTTGTGTCGGGGTTTTTCGAGCAGAAATCGTCATTTTTTGCGGGTGAGAAATCGTAACCTTTGAGGTCTTCTGACCAAAATGGCACTTGGCCAGGCTTAATGAATTCATCATATACTTCTCCAACAGTCTGCGGTTTGCCATCGATAAATATTTGTTTACCCGTAAAGTCATATGCAACGGCATCTGTCCCTCCACTGACAAGCTTCAACCATTGCGAACTGCAGAACAACCCAGCCTTTGGGCGTTCAGAGTTGCTTTCGAATAAGTCTTTAAGTTTTTCAAGTTCTCCTGCGACTAATGTCAGTCTTCAAACCGAGTTTAAAAATCATTAATTTCAATCCGGCAAGGTGATGGAAGGACGACTAACATACTTGTAATTTTGGCGAGCGTCTTAGCGTTCTGGGGGGCAGTTGGGTTACTCTTAATCGTTGTTAAGCCAAAGAAAGTCAAGCAGGCTTTCCTAATGAAGATATCAGAAGAATATTGAAGGATAGCAGTATAAGCATGCGCTGCCAAATCCCTAGATTCATCGTTCCATTTGTTGATAATGGCCTTGCGCCCTTTTATATCACAACCCCCGTCAGTACTGCCACCTTTGATATGCCATGCATCGTCAGCCGAGACTGCTTGGTCAGCAGCTAGAGCGCCAATAAAAGACAATAACAAGAGATAGAAAGAGACGAAAAGAGGAAGGGAAGGCGAGAGGCGCATCTTGAGTCTTGAGATGAATTTTGAAGAGTCTTTACCTGGCAGCTATGGGATCTTATATACTGTGGTATTGTGCAAAAAATAGAATTGAGTGAAAGCAGGAAACGGAACGAGGGATTGCAAAAGACCCTGACTTGAGCCGAAAATCAAGCGTGATGAAGATAGAAGATGGCTCCACGGAGACAACTAATGAATTCCAAAACAAGCCCCGCAGGTTGAGACTGGTATTCAATAGCTCCAAAAGAGGTTCCATAAAGAAAACGCTGCGATGTGCCCTACTCACTCTGCGAATCGTCCAGACACGTAAATATGGGGTCTGTTGCATTTCGGAAAATTTTATTCTTCCCCTACTTCAGCTCTGCAGAATGGACGTAGACGCACCGAAGAGGACCAAACTTACAGCGATCCTTCTAGGATGGGTCCTGTTCGGCATATTAGTCCAGGTTCACTGAATCTTCATTTCTGTACGTACCGCCTTCGAGGAGTCAGTGTGGCCCAACGCAGGTTGTAATCAACCAGTAGCTATCTGCGGCCTCTTGGCAGGGACTTTGTATAATCATGCATATCAACCATGAGTGTAGTGAATTGGTTCTCCAAGTGGACCGGTCACCGGTCACCGGACCACCGTTTAATTTGGATACAGGTAAAAAGTCAAAAATATTGAAAGCTGTAAGAATAAGGTTTAAAAACACAAACTCCGAAGGAACAAGTTGGGATATTGATGAGTCAGCATAGAACCGTAGGTGGGCATATAGAACAGATCCTTCGAATATAATAAGATATCCACTGCACTGTGACTATACTATGATAATCTCAACAGAAACAGCATTGATTTTCCTTTGAAGTACTGTAAAGTTATGTAGTCGGCTGGCGTTGATGCACGTGGACCCTGGAAAGCGGTTATGGATCCCTGGATATCTGGCGTAGCGTCTTGATGCAGTTTCGACCGGAAAATGGCCGCCACCATAGCTCATCTGGAAATAAGCATAACGGTAAGCATATTTAGACAACATTTAGACGATCAAAGTTTTTTCCCTGCGGTACCAAACGGTCGGTATCGTGTCTAACGCTCTGATTGCTTGAAAACTCGCTTATGACGGCCCGTCCCGCTAAATTCTCTTGTTTTAATTGACTAGATCTAAATAGGCTTAACATGACCTTATGCCAAGCATATACTTTCAAGGTTCGGCAATTGATCCATTCGGAGTGGATGTTTGGTTTCTATTGATCCCTCCGTCACACGTCGTCAAGTTTTTCATATTGGCGCCGGAAATTGGAATGGGGTCTTGCAATCGCCCAAGATTCATTAGTTTTTGAAAGTATGGTGGATTTTTGGGACCATCCTAGACAGGTTTAAAGTTCTTATTATGGCACATCGTAAAGTCTGCGAGTCTCATATCAAAATCATATCTAAGGCCCGAATGTGTTGTATATATAAGAACATGTTTTAAGTATAGCGAGGAGGCTCTTAAGAGTTGTAGGATCTTTGTCTTTTTCCGAATTGCACTCGGCGGTGGGATATCTATTTTTCGAAAAGCTCACAACCGCAAGATTTACTCTTGACTTCATCATGAAACTGTACGCCTTAGTTGCTGTGCTTTTGCACATGTTGTGTCGTGCGGTGCAATCAAAGGCCGTATTCGCCCATTTTATGGTAAGAGAGTCCTTTCAACATTACCTTACCATTGTATCAATATCATTGAAGTTCAATGGAAGGAGCAGAACGATAAGTGATGGATGTTCACTAACTCGTGAATCTACGTAGGTTGGAAACTGCAAAACCTGGGAGATATCCAACTGGCAGGCCGATATAAAGATCGCCCAGCAATCGCACATCGACGCCTTCGCACTCAACATCGCAGCAGAAGATGAAACAACGCAGCTTCCATAGAACGAGCTTTCTCGGCCGCCGAGTTCCTCGGCTTCAAGCTCTTCTTCTCCTTTGACTACGCAGGCAATGGTCCATTTAACATGTATGATGTGATTGACTACATCAAACAGTATAGCGGCAGCTCCGCATACTTCAAGGTCGATGGACAGCCCCTTATTTCGACCTTTGAAGGGGCTGCAAATGCCAATGACTGGATCATTATTAAGGCCACAACGAACTGTTTTTTTTGCCCGATTGGTCGTTATCAGGCGCTATGGGTGCCCTGTCACTTTCTCCCGGTGTGGTGGATGGTCTTTTGAGCTGGGCGGCGTGGCCATGGGGTGGTTTAGATATCAACACTTATGTTGATGCGTCTTATCTTGAATACCTTAAAATCTTTTCTTCCTCCAACCCTTTACAGTACCTAATGGCGGTTTCTCCATGGTTTTATACAAACTTGCCGGGCTATAGTAAAAATTAGTTATGGAGTAGCGAGTATGTCTCAAAAATCCAATTCCCCTCCTTTAATGTCAGATTCCTGTTGCTAATGTACGTCATAGCGATTTGTGGTACGACCGGTGGCAGGAAGTTTGGGTTGTACAGCCGGAATTTGTTGAGATTCTCACGTGGAATGACTATGGAGAGTCTCACTATATTGGTCCACTACACGACGAAGCACTAGAGGCATTTGATATTGGCGAAGCACCATTCAATTATGTCACCAAAATGCCCCACGATGGCTGGCGAATGTTCCTTCCATACTTCATCGACACTTATAAGAATGGCATTGCCACCATTGAACAGGAAGGTCTAGCTGCGTGGTATCGTCTCACGCCCAAAGCCGCATGTGCCGATGGCGGTACAACCGAAAATACGGCCAGCCAACTCCAAGTTGAGTTTTACCCCATTGACATCGTCCAAGATAAAATATTTTACTCTGCGCTCTTGGGGTCGAGCCAGTCGGTTAGAGTTACAGTTGGTGGTGTAGATCTAGATGCAACATGGACTAGCAAGCCTGATGGCGATGTTGGTATATACCACGGCAGTGTAGCTTATGGGGGAGCGTTGGGCGAAATCGTGGTGACAGTGGGGTCTATGGTGATGAGTGGAGAGGCTATTACCACGAGTTGCGATCGCGTCAATGGCCAAGACGGCCTTACCAACTGGAACGCTTGGGTAGGTAGTGCTTCTGGGTCAACTGTCAGCGCTACCCCTGCGCTCAATCTAACGGAACAAGTATGCATACTGGGCACCGGAGTCGCTGCCTACAAAGACCTCTGCTCTTACTCATGTCATTTGGGATACTGTCTTATTGGAGCTTGCACATGTCTAGCTATGGGAAAACAGTTGGATCAGCCTGACGCCACAGGAATTAAAGGGTATCCAGCTGCTGGTTTGGATGCGACTTACAGTGGGCTTTGTGACTTTGCTTGCAATCTGGATTTCTGCCCCTCGGAATCGTGTGACACTGTTAAGCATGAACTTGTTATACAAACAGTGTCGCCTTTCTTGCCATCTGCTTGTACTAATGGGACTGGGGTCAATGACCTGTAAGTTTGAGCTCTTTTATATTTGTCTCTGTTCATTGTTGAGCAGTACCATGGGGTGCGATAATTCATTAATCACAGCTCAATCACGATTCTTGAAGCATTCAAAGATGATTAAGGAATCCTTCGGAGTGTGAGATGGGGTACAGCAGAAAGCCAAGTTGGAATAAATGGGAAGCTAACTAGTAATTAGTCAAGGTCTCTGCGAATATTCTTGTGTTTATGGATTCTGTCCTATTCACTCGGTGAGTGGCACACCAAATTTATGCTATTTTTCGAGATCTCATGTTTGAGTAGCAACCCAAACTTTTAAGACTAACATACGATTAGTGTACATGTACTGAAAAGGGTGCTTTGAATGTACCTCCACCGACCACGGGTGCAAGTGGGAAGGGGACACCAGGACTAGATCCTCTTATCTATGACGCCATTTGCGAGTTTACCTGTAGCCGAGGCTATTGTCCAGAGGGGCCTTGCTCCCCTGCAGGCACCAACAGCGGCACAGGGGATTTTCTTGTTTACGTTTCACCTAGTATCTGGATCAATCCCGAGCCCATCGTACAACTGGGATGTTATCCCCCTTGCACTCTGATTCTTCCTCCCTTTACTCTTCCAGCCCCGACAGTCATCAACTTCGACCCGTACGTTACTACTCTGGAAGTCTTCAGTATCACTGGCACCACCACCATCACGTACACAAATACCGCAGCTGGAACCATTTTTGTGTCAGAAATAATCAAAGGCACATCATCCATGACAACCACGACTATCCTCGTACCCCCGTTGACTACTGACGTTATCGACTTCTGGAATATTCCCATCGATGATGCGGACGACAAAGCATCTTTGATCTTAATTTCGACCAGCATTCTACCACCTATCGTCACAATTACCGAGACCAGCGCCGGGACAGCATATGATCGTACAATTCACCCACCACCATGGCCATATACCCAATCAACACCGACAAAAAAAAGTTCAAGCAGTAGCCCACCACCTTACGTCTCGTATACTTCATCTGCAGCAAAGTCACGTTGTACGAGCGACTGTGGCACTCGCTGCATAGGATTATTTTGCAATCTTCCCTGTCTCTTTGACTGCGTGAAGATTCCGGACCCAGACTTGTGGGACCCGAAAGATCCAGATAGTCCCTACTCGCCCTCGAAGACACCATACAAGCCTGAAGACAGCAAATGCACTACAACTAGCGCAAGCAGCTGTAGGACAGAGTGTCTTGCCGCCAGCCCAACAAGTACCTGTTCATCATCCTGCTCTATAAGCTACGGCTGCTCGGTGACTTCAACCTCAACGCTGGGAACTTACACGCTTGCCCCATTCGGCTACTGGACCGCCGATTCCTTTGACAGGGCTTCAGACTCGGATGCTGCATATGTCAGTTCCGTGGATGCGGCGATAACAGCTCAGCTAGAAGAGTGGTTTCCTATTACCGGAATCACAGCAACAGCAACCGTTACGCCTGTCTCAACGATCACGGGGCCAAATGTCACGATCACAGTGACTCCAACGCCCACCGCGGATTGTTCTTTCTGGGACGAGGACAGTCTTTACTTTGCCTTCGATATATACAATATCAAAGACTGGGCAGTGGATGACAGTGGCGCAAGCCTCAAGAAACAAGAGACCGGATGCGGAGCGCTACAGGTTGGGAATGGCATGCTGCAGACAACGAGAATTAGGCGTACGCGCGTTTCAATTTGCCTACAGTCTTGAAGGCGGGGTGTGTAGAGAGGGCGATCGCATCGGCTGGTGGACCCAAGATTTCTTGTCATGGTGGAGGGATTGCGGGACTCAAGAAAAGAAGTGTTAGAAGGAGCGAGAGAACCTTTCGGAAGGCTAGTTACAAAGCGCCGAGTGTTACGCCTACGTATACCAGTCAGGTGGATGCGGCAGATGCGAGACCTACGTACATTCCTGAGTATTGGAACGCAACTCTTCCGACGGCGTCGGTTAATGCACCCGAGGGTCATGGAGTAGTGAAGAATTGGATGATGCCCACGCCGGATAACCATACCTCGGCTTATACAATGTATACAGTGGTATACCCGACGGCGTATATTGCTTCACATATTTCCACGACGGCGAGTAATGGCCATTCGATATATAAGAATGCGAGTAAAACAGATGGATGAATGTTGACCTCCTAAAAGCTCTCATGTATCATATTATTATATTATCATTATTAATAGGCTATGCACTGGGTACCCATTGGTAGCCACCTACGGAAACCTCACCCAAACACAATATTCCGAAGAAAAATTTCTGGTCGCCAGGAATTGAATTTCGGTCTGAAATTCACTCTACAGAGTTATAACACTATCTACAATACATACTACTCACTACAAGCCAACATAGCGCCCCCTATAGCACCGCCAGAGGTTATCGACCTGGTAAACGCGGATTACACCAATCCACAGGACCCAGAAACACCCTCCAACTTTAAAAACCGCTCCAAAAGAAGACAGTGTGTTTTCACCAACAAAGCGCTACCAGTCTTTAAACTGGGAAATAGAGCAGGCACCAACGCAATCAACACAACGACGGAGGCATTCAAAGCCAAACTCGCGGTATACGAACACGTAGAGAGGATTCAACAAAAAGTCATAATTAGCTTGGTGAATGCAATCGATAAATACATTAACCTTTTTGCAACAGAAAATAAACGAACAGCAGTTAGGAAACTGAGCAGCAGAGTCATAAAAATTCTTATGCTCACCATCGATGACGGACTTAACCCATCATCAAGCCCAATATTCACACCACCAGCAACAAAAAGTGCAATCTCCACGAAAACACAAACTACCAAAACCTATACAGGGATCCTCAAAACCTCTAAAACAAGTCAAAACGGGGCGGGCCGAGCAAATCTATCTATATTTCAAAAAGCTTTATCAAAGGCTCCACCTACCAATGCACGATCCAAACATTGAGTAATACGAACCACCCGGAGCATGGATCACAGGCTTTTAATAACCATCAGCCCTACAGCCCGGATCAGCCGCCCAGCACTGTTTGTACTAAAAAACGCTTTTGTTAATGTAATCACGGGTTTAACACTGGCTGATATCCCTACTATTTCTGTTACCAAGACAGGATGGACCATCACACCAAAAAACCCAGCAATTCAAAAACTACTTCTTTCACAGGAGAATAAGGAAATTATCCTTAGGATCAGTCGAGGTATGTAAGTGTATCAATTGGTAATGTGGTATAACTATACAGTCCCTAGAGTTCTAGTATCGATATGTATGTTAAACAGATTCCCAGCTGATATGGCGAGTTACGTGGAAGCGGAGGTACAGGTACAAACAAGCCAATTCCCAGTTAGCTACAAACCTTTACAACACAGAGCCAATCCTTATAACGGTATAATCACATAGGTAGTGTCCTTCCTCAAACCAGTCTGTAGTTTCAGACTCTTCAATGTTAGCAAACTGGTACGAGAGATCAAAGCGAAACCTACCATAACCCGATATAACACTGGTTGTTAAGACTGATATAATCTAGCGAAATATACCAAACTTACTCGCTATACCAACTACAGTATCCGAAAAGACACACATAAGGGTCTATAGGGGCTCAACTGCATAACAAAAGCAAGGTATACTAATTACTTCGGACTATTCGCGGCAGAACATCAGAACTGCCCAGTAGTACCAAAGGTGGTAAATGGTAGAGTTATAGTACCTACCAGGCCTTAACTCAAAGTTATCAGAAAACCAGCCCTGGCAATAGAAGCGGCAACGCTTTCCAGCCAAAAAGCAAAAGAGGACCCAAAAGAAGGATCCATTCTAGTTTCATTTGTAACCCAACCCTACCCGGTATTAAAACGCCTAGGAGCACAGATCTCCGAGTACGAAAAAGAGATAGTAACTGAAGCCGCTTCGGCAATTAGACTCAAAAGGAACACGGTAGTAGTAAGTTGACTAAGATAGAAACCTTTCGTAAATACAAACCTCAATAAGGAAACCCTTGCCAATAGTCAGCAAAATATCGAAATGGGGGGAATCCTTTAACCCGACATACATAAGTAAACACCCGATACATCAAGATGATATATATAATTATTAATAGCTCAGAATATGGGATTTAACAGTTTATTAAACAAATATGAATAGAATACCAGAGACCTACGATATCTTATTATAAATGGTATTTGAAGACAAATCAGATGTTCTATGTGTACAGGAACCCTCTATGTTTCTGGTTATAAAAACCAAAATATACCCCAAATAGACCCTATATACATCAATCGATTTGTGGACAGAAATATCCCCCAAATAAAGAAAGACAAAACGATCCCGAATACTGATATATATCAGAAAAGGCATAAAACTGCGAACTTAATAAAGATAGTTGATTAAAAACCAGGACATTCTTTGGATTGATATGAATAGGTACCCTATATTGAATATATATCGATTACTACGAACAGAATAGATACTAATTTATATTACTGAATTATAATCATCCTCAGGGTATCTCATTGGAGGCGATTTCAATACTAAACATAAAACATAGTAATCTGGAGGGGAAAACTGTGATAAAGGATACAAGCTAGCAATCTAAACAGAATTAATCGAACTGGACTATATTAGAAAACGAAAAGCATTTATTTACTCAGGAGGAAATATATTCGACCTTACCTTCTCCAATATACCATTTACAGAAACCAGAATTTGGTACGATCTACATAGTAACTCGGACCACTCCACTATAGTAACAACTATACCAGGTAAAGAACTCAAACCCCTGGACCAATATAATATCCGAGTTCCAGAAACAGAACTACCAAGATTAGTAGGACTAATAACGAATAGAGTAACGAATCTATTTTCAAATGATACTTTTGATACCCTGAAAGAGCAAGATAACTTTGCTAAGCAACTTATTCAGATAATCAAACAAGTAATCGAAACAGTAGGAACCAAGGATAAAGGAAAAGGCAAGGTTACACTATAGTAAACAGCGAAATACAAAAAGGTATATACCGAATACCTGAACAAACAAGCTGTATTAGAGAACCTTTTCATTACAGTAACAAAAGAGTTCAAAACGATAATCAGAATAGTTAAATGCAATTACTGGAAACATGTTATAAATAATATCTCCAGTGATAAGGACTTATACAAAATAGTTGGCTGGCATAAACTAGCCCCGAACCTCAAGAGTCCCCCAATCATCTCAAATGGAATTGTAATAAAGGACTCGATGAAAAAAGCTGAACTACTCAGAATAGAGATCTTGAATCAGTTTAACACGGAAGATGATCTAGAATACGATCTATTGGGAGACCAATGGGAAGGAAACGGATATCTATCCTGGAACTATCGGTTTATAATGAAAAAAGTCGAAACAAGTGTTATTAGAGTATTTAGTATATCATTAAAGACTGATCGAGTTACGATCAAACTTCTCAAAACCTGTTGAGATTACTTCAAAGATTTACTAAGACAACTTTTCTAGAAATACCTCAAATATAGTTATTTCCCGAAAACTTGGAAATTAGCGGAAATAGCTATGATACCCAAAACCGGTAAAAGAGATATGATATTTGCAAGGTCATGGAGATCTATCGCTTTATTTTTCTGTATAAGAAAAGGCTTGGAAAAAATAGTTGTTAAGCGAATAGGCTGGATAGCTGTGACGGAAC